CCACCACCTACAGGCGGACTTTCCCCGCCAGAGGCTTCAGGCTGTCTTCCTTCCCTGTGTCCCCAGGGCCTTCCCCACTCAGCCCTGCCTTTCCACAGCACCTCCCACTGATACCAGCATCCTCCTCCGCCTCCATCTGATTGGCCCCATCCCAGCTCCTCCAGGGTACTCCTCTGACATCTGTTGTTTTTCTCAGCTCAATATCCTTTTTTTGATTGGGGAATTGACTTCCCATCCCATGTGATTGGAGGGACTGCCCCTCACCCCATAGGATGGCCAGCGGCAGGCTGTGGGCGTTCGACTCTGCAGAACCAATCACAGGCCTTCCATGAGATTACTGTCTAGATGCTGAGAGGAAGGGGCATTCTTTTGGATCTCAAGCCTAAGGAATGGGATATAAGGCAACCGAGAGCCATCTTTACGCTGTGCGGTGAGGGCCTACCCTGTCTGTGGCTGGAGAAAATGAGACCAACTTATAAAGACACATAGAGATGGATAAGCAGCACTAAAGGAGGGAGCGAGCGATGGTCTGAACAATATTGTCTGAGCCCTCCAGATTCAGCTGTCCCTGAAGCTGATACTAACTGCATCCCCTGGTTGCAAGTCAATTAATTCCCACCTTTTTTTTTTTTTTTTTTCCCCCAGACAGAGCCTCACTCTGTTGCCTAGGCTGGAGTGCAGTGGCACGATCTGGGCTCACTGCAAACTCCGCCTCCCAGGTTCAAGCGATTCTCCTGCCTCAGCCTCCCAAGTAGCTGGGACTACAGGCGCCCGCCACCACGCCCGGCTAATTTTCTGTATTTTTAGTAGAGACGGGGTTTCACCGAGTTAGCCAGGATGGTCTCGATCTCCTGACCTCGTGATCTACCCACCTTGGCCTCCCAAAGTGCTGGGATTACAGGCGTGAGCCACTGCACCCGGCCTGTTTTCTGCTTTCTTGAGATGGGGTCTCACTATGTTGCCCAGGATGGCCTCAAACTCCTGAGCTGAGGCAATCTTCCCCCTCAGCCTCCAGAGTAGTTGGGACTGCAGGCGTGCACGACCATGTCTGGCTTAAAGGGAGAATGAAGGAGTGGAGGGAAATGGTGAGGGCTTCAGTAGAGTAAGGGAAATGAAAAATTCCGAGGGGTTGGTCATGGTAAATGTGATTAGGCAGCTCTGTGTGCTCGCTGGCAATTATGAAAGTTAGGACTCTGTTCTCCCGCAGAGACTAGGAGACAGAGGCTCCAATCTTCCTGATATTACACTTCAATGGAATGGCCTTCAGGTCCTTGAATGGCCTTCAGCTCCTGAATTGTGAGATACACACACATCTCAAATGGACAGAGGAAGGATCACAATTTTAAGTTCCCATCCCACCACACATTTTTTTTTTTTTTTT